CGATTATAGAACGATTGTAAACGTTCCAGAAAATTGATCAAATTGAAAATAGTTCGTTTGACTGGACGTAAAAATTCTCTAATTAGTCTGGAAACGGGGGACCTAATTCTTACATTCTTTGAAAACGGGTAAGATTAGCTATAATGTAATTATCTTAATCTTCACTATCGTTACTTTTTGCCCAGCGAAGCGGGTCCTTGCAGCTAGATTCTAGATTACTTAGAAAAACAGTCTTTTATATATAAAAAAAACTATGTTACATACAAATGAACGAACAGATAAAAACCCAGCGAAGCGGGTCCTTGCAGCTAGTAGTAATTAAAAATACAAAAAGTTTCTATAACAAAAACTCATAACAGATGGCGCCACAGACAATTTTATTACGTTATATTATAATTAAAATTATAAACTTATTTTCTGAATAAGATTTCACAATAGTCGAAAAAGTTATGCTATGCGACTCGTTGCTGGACGCATTTTTCTTAGTTCTATTTGATTAAGGCAACGCGATACATGGGCGATCTGCCGAGGCTGGAGAATGCCTCCGGAGAGGTCTTTTATGAGAAACTGGCCCCTACTTAGTCATTACTGATGTCAAGAAAACCTGGAAAATTCCACATGGCTAGCCCATTGGCGAGGCCTGAACCCACGGCCAACTATAGTATTCAGTGGTTTTATCCATTCTGTCATTGGTGGGCCCTTTCTTTCATACTTTTCTAGAATTTTCCATTTGCATTTTTCTTTTCTTTGTGACTTCTCTCGAACGCTAACCATTGATGGCAAACCTTTTCCCGAAGATCGGTCAAAGTTTAAATTCGAAAGTTAGTACAGTAACTCCAAATCGCGTGGGTCAAATATTTAACTTAAGTAATTTAAAAAATAACAAAAAATGCTACATGACAAATGCCAAAAAACACACAAAAATAAAATTGACAGAACTTTTCACGCACCCTGTAGTTAAGATTAGTGAATGGTTTCATTCAACAAATTCAACCGTTTTAATCAGTAGCTTAGCCAGAAATTTAAAAAGAGGAATGCANTCTCTCGAACGCTAACCATTGATGGCAAACCTTTTCCCGAAGATCGGTCAAAGTTTAAATTCGAAAGTTAGTACAGTAACTCCAAATCGCGTGGGTCAAATATTTAACTTAAGTAATTTAAAAAATAACAAAAAATGCTACAAATTTTATTTAATTTCATTTCATAATTTATATCAGAAAAATAATAACAAACCCTACATAGGCGGAAAATAATAATAATAATAATAACAATGCTATTTCGACACGGCCGGACAGTCTACCACTCTGGGGATCCAGAATCGAAAAACTGCAGGCATTTGTTGGTGTAGTCGGTCCGGATAAGTCGGGCCCCCGACACTCCATTATGGGTTTGGTCTTTATCCATAATGGGGTTGCTAGAGAGGTCTTCCTTGTACCAAAAAGTAAACAGCTTTTTTTTAAAATGTGATTATAAGGAAAACAAATATTTCGTTTAATGAGAAATCTGCTGCTCTTTATTTAATGATAATTTTTATGTCTGAGATTCAAACTAGTTATCTTTATGACTTTTCACGACAGTTTTAGTATCCTACTTTCACACTACATATACAAAGTTTTAAAATCTGTTAAATATTTTTTAAAATTTATAAAAACCTACCACTTTCTAAACATTTAATGCTGGTTCCTTGAAATCATCGCGCAGATTACAGGTTCGCCACTGCTGTTCTAGACCATGCTACTGATGGGCAACCTTTTTCTATGTAAGGGCCGCATTTCAAAACTTTTGAACTTACGCGGGCCGCATACAAGAGGCCGAGTGGTTGAGGTGTCAACCTACTGCTCTGGGAGATAGATACTCCTAGAAGTTTTTGGGAGTGGTTCATCCTGGAAATGTCATATCCTGCACTTCATCACCCGGTCTCTACCATTGTGAGCCTGGCTGAGTCTTTTTACTATACACATCGTGGAAATTCACAATGTTTATAGTGAAAAGACAGCCCACAATGTGTATAGTAAAAAGACTCGCAGTGGCCACAGACGTAAAGAGTTAATATACGTTATAAAAAAAGAAAATATGTTTGCTAATGGGAAAAAATGATACATTGCAAACTTTTAAACATACAACATCGATATATATTTATACACAAATAAAATTCTTACATTGTTTACATAATATATTAGTATAATTTTCATAGATTAACATTGAAGTTTTAACAACAAATATGACCGATATTTACATTAAATTTATGGAGTTTTGGCGTCATCTGTCGTGCCATAAGAGATTTGTTTGATTTCGGTTAATGCAATCGGGATGGAACCGTTTTGATTGTCGCATTTATCATTTTTAAAAGCTCCCTCTAAAGGATTCCATGGAAGAACCTCTTCTGCTGGTGGCTCTGCCCACGGTTGCAATTCTCCAGACGCAAAAATTGCATAAAATACTACTCCGGTCAGATGAATGATGCTGGATATGAGAAATACGTTCTCCCATTCTTTAGCTGTCTAGAACGATGAAATCATGTAAATTTTACAGTGAAATCGTATAAAAATTTAACTTTGTTCTATACTATTATAAAAAAATTTACCCCATCTTTAGTAAGTTCTTTCACTACCACTGGACATACGATTCCAGCAATTGTTCCAACACCATTTGACATACCCATTAGAATGCTGGCGTAACGTGGAGCTAAATCTAAGTGATTTACGTTAAAACCTGTTGAAATAAAAATAGTTTTTTCTTTAATTTTTTATTGCAAAATTGAGCTAATCTATTTTAAAATAAATCATCAAGATTTGAGAGAAAATTAAACTTGTTAACGAGAAATTGTTTTCATTATATATAGAGTGTCCGATAAGTCTGAAAGCTTAGGAGTTATGTTGATCTTCGTTTATTCTTATATAGGTAAAAGCACGATGTTGGATAAAGAGGAACGAATTAAGTTATTTTGTTGATAGAGATTTGCAGTCGGAGAGAAGTTGCCAAAGAGTTTAACAGACTCCATCGAGATCGTTGTGTGGGACTGATGTAGAGTTGCTAGGTATAGGACGGCGCTGTCCAACTTAGCATAGCCCGCGGGCCATATTTTCTTCACCAAACATTTCGGGGGCCAAGAAGGTTGATAAACCACATAACATTTGCATAGTGCTACGGTTCAGTAAGCACTAATTGGTCAACGAATCCGATGTTGACGCTATAAAAAGGCGACAGTTCGACACACCGGATATACGTCACTCTCGTCTAAGTTCGACTTGGGAATTTTTTTGTTCAATAATAAATGTGAATTCTTCTTCCTGGAAAAATAAGACATTCCCTGAAAATAAGACCTAGCGCATTTTTCAGAGCAAAAATTAATATAAGACACTGTCTTATTTTCGGGGAAACACGGTAGTAAAATAATTTTAATATTAATAATAATAATTTAGTAACATAAATTTATTCATAGTAAAATGTACACGCAGGCCATAAAAATTATTTGGCGGGCTGTATACGGCCCGCGGGCCGCCAGTTGGACAGCGCTGGTATAGGAGATAAAACCTATGACAAAATAAATTCTTCCCGAAATATACTAGGATGCTTAAATTCCGGGACATGCAGGATGTGTATTTTTACTCTACCAATGACAAATACATTTAAAATGTGGAAAAAAACAACTTCATTGTAAGCACAGTTTTTAAATAAAGTTTTCCTAGAGCCAGATTTGTGGAACGTCTGGGTGCAATCTGTTAAATTTTTCCTCGACTTCTTGCTGACTGCATATCCCATCAGAGCCGTCGAGAGCTTGCATAGCACCCACGGGTAGAGAGCAAGCCCCTTTTGCCAGTGTGGTTTTTGAATAAATGAAACCCATAGATTGTTTTTTATTAATAAAATGTAGTTTTAAAGCTTTTGTTTTTTGTTAACAAAAATAACGTTAATTTATGCGTAAGCAAATACTATGGACTCCTACGACTTTTCCGGGCCGGGGAAAAAATTCCCAGCCTAATCTCCGCTATCAAAATAACACGAATTCGTTCCTCTTTACTCAGCACTATGTACTGTACCTGTAAAAGTATAAAGATCAACATAATTCTATAGTTCTAGACTTATGGCACACCCTTTATAATTTAGACAGAATTAGATAACCCAATAAATAGGGTATAACAATTTGCTGGGCTTATCACACCAAGGCTGTCGGCCTTGGTGTGATAAGCCCAGCAAATTGTTATACTCTATTTATTGGGTTATCTGATTCTGTCTAATTTATAGTCGTGGGCAAAAAAGCCTTGTTTATTATTATTACCCTTTATAATCTTTGAATATAGGCTATATTCTGTTAAAGGCAAAATTCCGATGGTCTTAAGTTTATATCACAATATATTGATAATAGCTGTAATAATCGTTATAAAAACTGAATATAGGCCTACTGTATTTAGCCTGACTATTAAGCTAGTGTATACTCACTAGCTCAATAGTGATGTATACTTTCTGCATAAAAATAGTATAACTGAAAAAGAAATAAGCAACAAAATTGAAAAAATACGAATTTACTTTATAAAATATTTGTAACATAAATTTTGTTAAAATAAAAATTAAAACGATGCATAGT